TGCTACTGCTGCTGCTGCTAGTGCCGGTGGTGCTGCTGGTTGTTGGTGCTGTTGATGGTGCCGTTGGTCGTTGTTGTTGTCTTCTTGTTCTTGTTGCTGCTGCTGCTGTTGTATGTAATGACCTGCAAAAGCATGACGTATCTTTAGCTATACTACCCTAAACGGACCGCGGCGAACCCTCATAGCCATACTACCCTAAAAACGGACCCCGGCGAACCCTCATACGCATGGGTTGCTGCTGAAGTGGCTCATCCAAGGTATACGTTTTCGAGTTGAGGGTGAGGATGCAGGAGATGCTGGATGCTCCAATTTGTGTGCGTAGATCATGCTCTGAGTAGCATGAATCGGGCAAGAGAGTAGTGTAACTACGTGAATCGCGAATGAATCTGCCAAGATGAGCGGCATGAATCACCCAAACAAGTAGCATTAATCCACACGCGCAGAGTGAAGCGCGGGTAAACACCAGCCTCCACTGCACAGTGCACAGGCCAACAGATCGCCGCAGTCGACCCCGACAGGCAGAGCTTGGAGAAGCACCTACAAACAGAGTGATGGTTTTTGCGTGCTTCGTGCATGGCTTCGCTGCAACCCACAGCTCAAAACCCTGGCAGCCTGCGGGCCGTGTTTGGGCCTTTACTCGGGTGATTTTCTAATGGGGGGGCAGACTATCCGACCTGTGAATGACCCTGCCATGGATAAGTGCTTCTGCGGTAGTTCGGAATCATGTTTTTCCTGCTGTGGAGTAGGCAAGATAGCTAGTGGACATTACTCATGATTAAACCAATGTATGTTTCCCAGAGTGTGGAGAAGCACAGCGAGATAACTGTGTATATGTCAAACTTATGGAGTGCTCTGAATGCCCTGAACGGACATTCGGGGCAGGAGCTTCGCGACATAAGACGGACCATGAGCTCGGGGTGATCCCCTGACTTGCCTGAGAAGAGAGAAAAAAAGCAAAGAGAGTGCAGGTATCCGGGCCTGCAGCTGCATGACTGCGTCACTCAGCGACCGGCTGACCTTCTTCGCCTTAGGGCTGCAACAATTCACGTTCGGTCAAAAAAGTTCGGCTTCGTGTCTGAACATGGCAGGCTCAGCTAGGGCAGCTAGGATGACGACGGGCCATCTCTTTTTGGAGGTCATTATCGCAGCAGTGCTTCCAGTGGGGCACACGGCCCCAGGTTAACCGCAGGTCACTGCGGCGTTCGCTGAGGGATCGGGTCAAAAGGGCTATTTCCGAAAAGCTCTGCCGAGCATTGTCCATAGGCGGAAGCGAGGGCAGTGCCCTCTTCGGTGTGAGAGCGGGGTATAATACAGGCCCAGACTCAGGCATACTCAGAGTTCTGCGTGGACTCCTTCATCTGAAGCTGGGTGATCTTCTTGATGGTGCGGGCCCAAACGTTCTCCGAGCAGATCAGCTCCTGAAGGAAGTGTTTCTGGAGGTGGCCATGCGTAGTTTTCAACCTGACAAGAAAATCCGGTATGTCCGTGATGTCCGCGGGCGACACCTGCTGGAGAAGCAGCTGCTCTACGAAGCGGAAGTCAGCCACCCCGTTTGTGCCAAGGAAACCAAAGGCGGTGCATAGGATCTCCTGCCTCATGAGGACGTCTAGCTCTTTAAACTTCCTCTTGCCGTCATCCGACGTCAAGACCCCGCTCGCCGTAGCATGCTCATGCAGCTGGCACCATGCAGCCACCGAGTACTGAACTGCTTTCAGGCTTGATGCCATGCTGTTCTGGATCGCCTCTCGTACTGGATCGAGAAAGTCGGGGTAGGACAAGTCGCGGCCCAAGCTTGTCAATGACTCAAAAAGGTTTGCGGCGTCCGAGGGTGTCTGAGTATTCTGAGCTGCCACCGACGTCCATGAGGGTGTGCCCTTGGACTGCGCGTCCGTCACGATGAAGGGCATCTGCATCAATGACTCGTACAAGTTCTGCATGTCCAGTCCCATGAAGCGGTTCAAGTTCAGCAGCACAAGCTGCACGTCATCGTCCTCCTGGTTGTTCCACACGTGCCGCGAGAACTTCTCCCAAGAATAGTAGTCACTCATGGTCTGCAGCACGATATCCGAGTGGATTTTGTAAAAGGCATTGCGGAGCTGCGAGGTTCGGGTGTTGTCGTGGTTGACAATGTCGGACAAGTAGTTGGTGGTCAGCAAGACGTCAAGGGGAGCCCGAAAGCGTCCAATTGCTTGCCAAACCACTCTGTCCCGTGTCAGCACCTTCGACTCTTTGAAGGCCTTGAACAGGCTGTCCTTGTCATGCAAGTCAACGACGCCACCGATGGACATGACGTCTGTCCCTAGCATCTCCAGCTGCATCCAGGCATCGTGGGCGTGCAAAACGGCATCATGTGACTCCTGAAGGCTGTTCAGCAGGTCCGTGCGGACCACGCTTAGCAGCCTGTCGCTGTTGTTGCAGGCCGTTACCCGCTGAAGCGCAACACTGAGCTCAGGCGAGAAGTTCATGGCTGCAAGCTCTATCAAAGCCTGGTGTGTGAAATGCTGCACAGGCCGGATGAAAGCTGCCAAAGAAGTGCGGGTCTCATGCATCGTCACTTGTGCAACATGTGAAGGAACAGCCTTAGGCACGGACTGGCAAAGAACCCACCAGAGAGTCACGAAGCGCAGCAGGATTCGGCGACCAGGTAAGGAAGATAATGCCTGCGTTGCGCACAAGGGCGAGATGCTTCTCAGTCGGAACTGCAGCTCGAACCACGTAGAGACAGAAACGACAGTGTCAACGCCTGCGTAAAAGCGCTGGCAAAGGTAAGCTTTGCATGTAAAGCAGTGGCTCCGAGACGGCTGCCTTAAAAGGGACTCACACGCCCCCCCACCCCCCACATTTCAGCCCAGTGCAATTCCAGAAGCACATGGACTCGTTTCCTTCAACCCTGCACCTTAACATCCCCAAACCCTTATCATTCAAAGACCCCGCAAATCCCTCAACCCCAAAAAGGCCCCTATTTGAAGAATGCTGAACACAAAATTCCTACCAGAGGCTGTTGGGCTTGCGGGGATGCCTTGGATCATCTTGGCGCGTGGGCCCGTTCGCCTCTACGTTTTCAGGTTCAGGGAAGGCTTTCCGCCTCTGTTTGCTTTTTCGGGTTTTCGCGGTAATGTTTTTGGTTTGGGCAGGGTTTCGTGTTTGGGCAGGTATATACTTTTCGGGTTTGGGGCACATGTTTTGGGTTTAGGCAGAAATCAGAAATGTGTTGGCTTGTCGGGCTTTGAAACATTTGCTAATCTCTTTCGGTGCTAAACCACACGTCGGGGGTTTGTTGGCCACTTTCCTCAGCACCTTTGCAAGCTTCATCTCACTTGCGGCTATGAAAATGGAAGCCCACAACTGTTGCCAGGATGACTTCAGAGGGGCTTCAGGCGAGGGTGAGTGTAAGTTTGGCCTCTTGAAGTCCTAGACTCCTAGACTCCTAGACTCCGAGAACCCTGGAATCACAGCTACAGCCTCTGGCAACTCGTACAACTTTCGCGCAGGGGGGGCCTGGCAGTTCCCCGAGCGCCACATCCAGCAGTGCTACATGGCCTGGGTGCACCAGCCGAATCTCACAACCAGCCCACCTTTCCCAGGTGCAGGTTTGCTGCAGAATCTGCGCGCTGGGCTGACAAACTCTTCGCCAGCAGGCACCTTGCAGTGCTCTGCATTCAACGAGATGTCAGGACACAACATGACACAACGCTCTAGATTGCTCGGCATGAGGACGCGTCCATTGCAAGAGCTGCGACGTCATTCGTGCTCAAGCAAGCAGCGTCACACCTGACCCATCGCATCGCTAGAGGAGGAGACTCGAAAATCACGCCCCTGCCAACAGATCTAGAGTCTGGAGTGGAAAGCATGGGCTCGTCTCAGAGCGCGACACAACATTCACCCCAGTTCGACTGGCAGAAAGACCGCTGCCATCCTCGCAGTTTTTTGGAAGCTTCCTTCAGTTTCAATACTTTCAACATCTTTCAACATGCCTGCAGCGCCGGCAATGGCATCGCACTTGGACCTGGCCAGTACGAAAGTTGCTGAACTCGAAGGGTTCTCGAGCCAGAGGCCTGGAACCCTTAGACTAAATCAGTGAGCATGTACGATGATGCGCTGATGATGTCCTTTTTTGCCAATCGCTGCTCACAATCTGCTGGGCCTGCCTCTGAAACGAGGGACCCGACGCCCGCAACAGTCACCACCTGCACGCTGAACATGGAGTACCACCGGCGTACTTCGTACACTGTGAAAGCTGCCACCCATCCACATGCACCTCCGGCGTACAGTCCGAAGCCACAAATCATAAGCGAAAAACCCTCGATCCAAGGTCGCAGGCCTTGGCCCGGGCTGCAGCTCCTCCACGAATCGGCAGTGCCTAGTGGCAGGCGCTCGAACCGAAGACGGAAAGCGACAAACACCCTAGGAGTGCGGTGGGAGTAGATCCCAAAGCGGCTCCGGTTTTGAGCACTCCCTTGGGAGATCCGAAGCATTTCACAAAATGCAGAGGCGGCGAGAGCAGACTCGTACTTGCTTTAAGAGCGAGCCTTCTAAAACGTGGGAACTGTTTCTGAAACACCTGGAGATCCTGCTCCTTCGGCTGATCGTGCAGGAAGCAGGTTTAGGATTAAATCGCTTAGGCTTGTGTTGGGGGCATCGGTACTGTACAGCGCCTTGAGCCACACCAACAAAACATTTCAAACATCAGGATTTGTTCCTGCCTGAATGACCTTAACATCCGTCACAGCCTCACAGCCAAAAAGGCCTCGGAGGACGGAACACCAAAAATGTTGGCCCAGATCTTGCATGATCTGACCCCACTGATCCGCAACGGCTTCTGCGCGCACTTGGAGCGTTGTTTATTATTGCGGGGATCTTGTCTTTGAGTTGACATCCTATGCGGGCCTTCGCGTGAAGTCATGTTTGATAGCCGCGTGGCCTACGCGGAGTATGCTGTTACGCTGCGTGGCCACCCGGCCGATAATCGCGACCCTCTATATGACTAATTAGATGCTCTTTCATATAGAAAAGCAACGCTGCTCATCCCAGTCATTGGCGTTGTCTTCGCAAAACAGGGGTTGCATGTTGGAATCTGTCAGCCCCTCGGGAGAGCACTCCATGCAGTCCATGCACTCAAACAGGAGTTGGGTCTGGGCATCTGCGAGCTGCCTTGGAGTCATGCCACGCGAATTGGGAAGGTCGGGATCTGCTCGGGAAGCAAGCAAAAGGGAGACCATGGGCGCGTGCCCGCCCAGAGCTGCGTAGCCAAGTGGGCCTGAACTGCTATTCGCATGAAAGGATGCGAATGAACTTCTTGAGCCCAAGCAAACAGCTGCCCGAAAGCCCAGTTCAAGGCAACGGAAGAGACCTGTCGCACGCCCCGATGCATTGACATCGGCTCTTGCGCGGACAAGCAGCGCAGCCAATTGCACGCCTCCTTGTTGGAGAGTCCTCGATTCCCAAATTAAGTTCACAAGCGCTGAATGTCCAAGACCCCCGCGGGCTTCGCTGCCGTTGACATCAGCGCGCAGTTCCAGTAATTTGCTGATAACTGAGGCTGATGACACCCTGGCTGCACTCAGACCAAGTGGGGACACCTTGGACACTCCAGCTTGAAAGTTCACATCGGCATGGTGCTGAACCAAAAACTCCACTGTGGCAGCATCTCGACTAATGCCCAGCAGTGGCAAGCCAAGTGTATCGGTTGAGTTGGGATCTGCCTTCAATCGCAAGAGCTCTGCCATGACGGGGAGTGCGCGAGAGCCCCGTTGCACGGCTAGGTGCAAGGGCGTCCAAGCCAGGACATCTATGTTCATAAGTGGCTTGCAACGAGTTCTCATGCAAGCCTTGGCTTGGACAAGCCTCTGGATCATCGGAATGTTGTCCGAGAGCACGGCGCAAGCCAAAGCACCGATGTCTCTGACTTTCAAGCCCTCTGCCAAGCTCGGGAATCCGAAATGGGACAGAAAGTCCTCTTCGGATCGTTGCGTGTGGGAAGGTTCAGCATCAGCCCAGTCGTGAAACCTTCCTTTCAAATACCTGCAAAGAGCCGGATGAGTCTTCTTTGCTTCCAGAAACGCAATACGGCACTGCAGTGATGCCTGCAGCATGTCCCTAATGCGACTTCGATCCGCTTCTAGGCTAAACTCTCCCTCGTGTGGGAGGGTGTAGACCCAATTTACAGCTTGGACAAAGTCGGCAGCGTCAGGACCACGTATGGCAATCATGGGCAAGCTTTGTCTGCTGGATAGTTGTGTACACCAAAGCTCTGCTAAGCACCAGCCCCTCCGCAGCCAGGACTCGTAATCACAGGTTTTCCCAGATGCGTGTAGAAGCGGCGGAACCAATGCCATGAAGCAACTGCAAGCATCAACGTAAGATGGAATCGACTTGATGGCTAGTTGCTGGTTTGCATGCTGGGAGGGGTCCTGTGGAATGCAGAACCAATCCAGCCAAATGTAACCATTGCACATAGCTCGACGCTCATTGCTTGATGCTGGGCGGTTCCCCACCAGCGTTCTTGAAACCGAGTCTGATTCCTTCAGCAGCCTTCCAGAGATGCAGCCGCCTAACGCCTCCTGGAGCACTTGTAACTGTCTTCCGTCCGGGTCCGGATGGTGTAGTCCCAACCATTGATGTGAGACAAAAAGCACGTAAAACTCTGGCTCATGCAACACCACCTGACCGGATCTGAGGAGCTCTTCATGCTGCTGGACCGGAGCTTTCATACGCAGCACCTCGGAGACGCTGACGGCCCACATAGGAAACGGCCGCGCGTGGTAGGAAAACTCGGACTGGGAGCTATCGACATAGGTCACAGCTGCCATGTCGTAGAGGCTTTGGCCTTACCACGCCTTGCTTCTTGCCAAAATGGCTGCGCATCAGATCGGGCTTGTGAACATGCGCGGCCTGGGGTCTTCACAGGGGCCAGAAAAATGTCCTAATTGCGAACAGAAAGCCAGGATAGCAAAAGTATTCATCCTGAGTCTCCTCGATATTTGGGTACTAGCCTACTAGCCACGTGACTCTTGGGAAGCGCGACATCACCAAACATGGCCTCATGATCATAGCCTCACAGTACAGACCATGCCTGCAGGAAGCGGAAGCATGAATATCCAGAAAGCAGATCACATCTCCAACCGCGTCACATGGCGGAGCTAAATGATATCGTGTCGGCCATAGCGGACCCTCAACACCCTCGCATGGCACGGCCAAGCCGAGATCTTGAACGCCTCCACAACCATGGGACGCTCAGAGAGGAGTCAGAAAACCCCAAACCCTTAACTTAACCCTAAAGCTCTAAATGAGAGGCTTATGGAAAGATCACCCCCAACAACCGAACCGTTGTAGATACAGGCTGCCCGACAACCGGCGTCTCAGGCACGGACATGTAGGTCGTCACATCATGGTCCTGCGGTGACCCTTTAAAATCGCTTGCAAAGCTGCTCTAGAAGACTTGCAATGTCTGAAGGCCTAAAGACAATCCTGAAAGCCCTCTACCTACTGGTCCTATGAAGAAGGGAACCTCATCCCCCAAAAGGCCCCCCGAAGCCCCCCTTCCAGCCGCCTCCATGGCCTGGGCCAGCTGGGCTCGAATCCTAGCCTTGCATAGGGGCTGGAGAGGACTGCGAGGAAGATCCGAGGCTGCATAGGGCGTAGCATTTCGGCTCTGGCCCGGGACTGAAACTCGTATGAGACAGGTCGGCCCATGTCCCAGTTCTGCGGTTTAGGATCCCGGGTTGAGGGTCCACGGAGGGTTCTCAGGAGGGTTTGCTATGTGTGGCCTTCCTACAGCTGGAATCCCTCAGATGCCGGAGCTTACTGGGGTCATGAAGCATGATTCAGGATGTTCTGGCCATGGAAGTATAGTAGTTTCGTAAGAAACAGCTGATAGTATTCTGGGATCAGAGAGAAAGCCGACTGCTGTCGTCTGCGCCTAGAAACTTCGAGAACTAGGCGACGACTGTACAAGTGGTGGATCTTGGGATTCTTGGACTCGGATGACTTGAAGTGTGCTGGTCTGACTCGAATCTGCAGCTTAAAGAATGGGGTGCTGGCTGAGTCTGTCGAAGCATTTCTACAAACGCGGTTCCTGTCACAATTACTATATGTTCTTGTAGGACTCCCTGCAAAGAATCGGGAATTTGCCTTCGAAAAACCCTGGGCCTGCAAAGGAATCCAAAGTCGAAGATTCTGCCGCTGGATACTGCAATTCGGGTGAACATAAGCGAACCCTGCTCATTCAATATCCGCTTCTGCAGGGGCCTGAGCTGACGGAGATGAAGAGCCTGGCCAGCCTAGCACCTTGCAGGTGTGAGAAGCTGAGGACAGCCTTTGATTCAATGAGACCTGCAAATCTTCTTGTGGGTTGTGCCACTCCAGGCTGCCTCATGCTCGCTACTGCTCCTTAGAAGAAGAGAAAGAGAGAATAGAGAAAGAGAGAAAGAGAGAAAGAGAGAAAGAGAGAAAGAGAGAAAGAGAGAAAGAGAGAAAGAGAGAAAGAGAGAAAGAGAGAAAGAGAGAAAGAGAGAAAAAGAGAAAGAGAGAAAGAGAGAAAGAGAGAAAGAGAGAAAGAGAGAAAGAGAGAAAGAGAGAAAGAGAGAAAGAGAGAAAGAGAGAAAGAGAGAAAGAGAGAAAGAGAGAAAGAGTATCCAGTTCTGCCCGCGGAGTGCCTCGTATCACTTTTTTTTCAGACATGAACTTGGCGGGGTTTGCCGGCTTGATCACTCGGAGGGAACTCATTGGGGTTGCGGGAGTGAACTCGAAAGCTCGGGCCAGTGCCGCCAACCTGCGCAGCGCCCTGGAAAAGGAGCGGACGAACAAGCCGTACCTGTCAGAAGACTCATGCCAGGTAAACCGGAATCTCTTCCCAACTATGGAGGGTGAAAGCTAACCCCGACAGGTGAAAACCCCTCTGAAGCGCGCGGTGTGGATATGGCTCGGCTGCATCTTGCTTCCGCAAGTTTCTCTTGTACATGGCTCTGCTCAAGAGCCACGCAATGCTTGATGCTTCACAGAAGCTTCAAAAACAACATGGCCCGTTGAGAGCTTGAAAAGTCGCTTCGGACCAACAGGGCGACTGCTAGCTTTACCGGACACATACGGTAGACGCGGAGGCGCACGACGACCCACGACGACCCACGACGACACACGACGGCCGCAGCACACGCTGCGGGCACTGCACTGGAAGTACACTTTGCCCCTGACCGCGCCATCAATCTTGCCTGGTCTAGAAGGCGCGCAGCACTGCAGCACTGCGCTGGGAGGAGAGGTGCGAGCCATGAAGAAGAGAGGGGCCCTGAGCGAACATCATGGAACACCCTTACCATGCCCTTGGGCATGTCCTTAGTTGTGTGTTCGCTTCCTTGGTGGCTTTAGAAGGCTGCGTGGCGTGATTTCATATGCAGAGCATGGTCTATGCTCTGCTTACTGCTTAGACTGTTGTGGTCTCTCCTGCAACTCCTGCAATTTGCGGCTCGCCTTCTCGTCCAACTCCAAGCCGAGCCAACCCTTAGATCTCTCTCAGAGCTTAGAGTCTCCGGGCTTTGAGTTTTTGAGGGTCACCACTTCCCGGTGGCCTGGGGCTTTGTGTGGCCGACCCCTGATGCTGTTCACTTCCAAGCTCCGTGGAAGCATCGAGCACCGGCATGGGACATCCACAAACGATCAGCACCATCCTCGTCGTCATTGCCAGAAGCAGAGCAGCATGCCCTAAACCCTAAGCCCTAAACCCGAAACCCTGATCCCTAAACCCTGGACCCTGAAGTACGGCCCCAATTCCATGCCAAGTTTCGCCTTCTGCGAAGTCGGTCTTTCCCGCGATGCCGTGCAGCTGCCTCTCCTGCAAAAGTCCCGCGATGCCAGTTTCCGGAAGGGCCCGCGGCAACATTAGGACATTAGGGCTCAAAGAGCATTGCCATTCTGAAACCTACTGTCTTGACATGTCCTGACTGTTTAGGATAAACGGGTAGTAGCACATGGCAGCACTGTTCCTGCTCCGAAGCTTGGGGTCATGGTGCCCGTGGCTGTACATTAAAGAGGTTCTTTGTCTTTCATTGTCTATTTCCATTTCTTCTTTGTGCTTTCTTCTTTCTCATATTTTAGTCTAGACTTTCTATCTTCTACTGATCTATTAAGGAATTCCACGAACAATAAAATGGCATTTCTTTCTTTCTGTATTAGTAAAGATTTCAATGGAAAGATATTAATTCTCTATCGATATCTTCTTCAAACTCATCTCGGCTTCTTTTCTTTCTCACATCCAGATAATGCATTAGAAGCATTTTCATTACTTACTCCTTTACATACAGTACCTGAATGGTATTTCTTGTGCCAATATGCTATGCTAAAAGCTGTACTAAAAATGACGCGATAATGGCTGACGCGCGGATTCATGCAGCTAAGCTCCTTTCCTGGACTCCTGCCATGTCTCTGGCAAGCTATTCCCCTCAACCCCCACCCTACCCTCTCAGAAACCTGCCTGCTAAACGGCTCCTGGGGGTGCGAAATCGAGTAGCGAAAAGCCGCCTATGAATTTGAGTTGCACAAAGCGCGTTTAAAACAAAAACACATCTGCCAAATGAAAATTTCGTGAATCGCCTCTGCCAATTTGAGCAGCATAATCACCAAACCAGCATTCGTCCGCAAAGTGTATCATGAAGCTACTCCTGGGAGTAGACTGAAATGGGGAATTGCTGGTAGCATGTGCTCTGGTAGAACGGATCAAACAGTAGCGCGAGTCGCGCAGGGAGCTGGAATGCGACGGAACATGATGGAACATGTGTACAGTGTACAACATGAACATGGCGTGCTTCCCTGAGTTGCTTGATTGTACAAGCACAGGCAATGCATCTATCCAGGCCTGCAGCTGCATGACTGCGAGGCGGACAGACCTCCTTCGATTTCGGCCTGCGACAGTTCACGTACACAAAAGCTCGGCTTCGTGTCTGAACATGGCAGGCTCAGCTAGGGCGGCTAGGATGACGACGGGCCATCTCTTTTTGGAGGTCATTATCGCAGCAGTGCTTCCAGTGGGGCACACGGCCCCAGGTTAACCGCAGGTCACTGCGGCGTTCGCTGAGGGATCGGGTCAAAAGGGCTATTTCCGAAAAGCTCTGCCGAGCATTGTCCATAGGCGGAAGCGAGGGCAGTGCCCTCTTCGGTGTGAGAGCGGGGTATAATACAGGCCCAGACTCAGGCATACTCAGAGTTCTGCGTGGACTCCTTCATCTGAAGCTGGGTGATCTTCTTGATGGTGCGGGCCCAAACGTTCTCCGAGCAGATCAGCTCCTGAAGAAAGTGTTTCTGGAGGTGGCCATGCGTAGTTTTCAACCTGACAAGAAAATCCGGTATGTCCGTGATGTCCGCAGGCGACACCTGCTGGAGAAGCAGCTGCTCTACGAAGCGGAAGTCAGCCACCCCGTTTGTGCCAAGGAAGCCAAAGGCGGTGCATAGGATCTCCTTCCTCATGAGGATGTCAAGCTCTTTAAACTTCCTCTTGCCGTCATCCGACGTCAAGACCCCGCTCGCCGTAGCATGCTCATGCAGCTGGCACCATGCAGCCACCGAGTACTGAACTGCCTTCAGGCTTGATGCCATGCTGTTCTGGATCGCCTCTCGTACTGGATCGAGAAAGTCGGGGTAGGACAAGTCGCGGCCCAAGCTTGTCAATGACTCAAAAAGGTTTGCGGCGTCCGAGGGTGTCTGAGTATTCTGAGCTGCCACCGACGTCCATGAGGGCGTGCCCTTGGACTGCGCGTCCGTCACGATGAAGGGCATCTGCATCAATGACTCGTACAAGTTCTGCATGTCCAGTCCCATGAAGCGGTTCAAGTTCAGCACCACAAGCTGCACGTCATCGTCCTCCTGGTTGTTCCACACGTGCCGCGCGAACTTCTCCCAAGAATAGTAGTCACTCATGGTCTGCAGCACGATATCCGAGTGGATTTTGTAAAAGGCATTGCGGAGCTGCGAGGTTCGGGTGTTGTCGTGGTTGACAATGTCGGACAAGTAGTTGGTGGTCAGCAAGACGTCAAGGGGAGCCCGAAAGCGTCCAATTGCTTGCCAAACCACTCTGTCCCGTGTCAGCACCTTCGACTCTTTGAAGGCCTTGAACAGGCTGTCCTTGTCATGCAAGTCAACGACGCCACCGATGGACATGACGTCTGTCCCCAGCATCTCAAGCTGCATCCAGGCATCGTGGGCATGCAAAACGGCATCATGTGACTCCTGAAGGCTGTTCAGCAGGTCCGTGCGGACCATGCTTAGCAGCCTGTCGCCGTTGTTGCAGGCCGTTACCCGCTGAAGCGCAACACTGAGCTCAGGCGAGAAGTTCATGGCTGCAAGCTCTATATCAAAGCTTGGTGTGTGAAATGCTGCACAGGCCGGATGAAAGCTGCCAAAGAAGTGCGGGTCTCATGCATCGTCACTCGTGCAACATGTGAAGGAACAGCCTTAGGCACGGACTGGCTCTGTGAGCACGAAAAAAAAAACAGTCACAGGAAACTCCGAACAACTGGGCCCAAAGGGGACAGCCTCGCTGGCTGCTGGGCTGCAGCAGGCGCCCATTGCAAACTCCAGGTATGCGGCTTGCCGACTGCTTGTTACTGCGCAGTTGCTCCCATTCAGGGTATGCTCAAACTACTCCGGGTATGCGGCCTGCCGACTGCCATATCTACTAGCTTCTGATCACGGATAACGAAGCCTGCCAGCATTCAAGAACAGTTCGTGGTATTGCTGCTTTTGCCAATCTAACGAACGTACTCTTAAGCCGTAGAATTCCGCCACATTGCGGCATGGGCCCTGTATGTGAAGTTGAACGCGCACCCTTCCACACACAACAGTGGAGGGCCGAACACCTGTTTTGCTTCGAGACTCTGAGCATCCTGACATCAAGTGAAACAACTTCAAAGTTTGGGTGCCAGTCACGTCATGGTGCGCCAAGAAGCAAAATGCTCCGCTTCTCGTCGGGAAGTGCAGGAGAAAATGCTTCCGACCAGCACGGAGCTTGTTTTTCAGCTCAACATGCGAGGTCAGGTTCCAGCAGCCTGCCAAGGGGCTGGTGCACAGAAGACCATGTCGACACCGAGTCTCGGCTTCTCATCAGTGGGGCAGCAGTAGGGCGTGCACAACAGGAACTCTTTCCAACCGTCCAATCTGGAGCCGGTGGGCACATAGTGCGTTTTCCCACCAAGCAGATTGTAGGTGTTCACATGCTTGCGTCTGACATACCATACTGAGTCCTGGGTGGCGTCAGCAAGCTCTGCCCACTGCTCAGCAGATCGCATCTTCTCAACCCTTGCGATCTTCTTTCGCCTCTCAAGATGAAGGCAGTTGACAAGCTCTCCGTCGAGGCTATGGCAAGCTAACAAGGCCTCGTCGAAGGCATGTCCAGCACGGCCTGGTAAGCCTGCCAGAGAACTAGTCACCCGGGCCTTGGAAATTTAGGGTGAGCGTCCACGACCTATAGACGTTTAGGTTCAAGAGGTTCAAGACTTCGACCTATTTCGAAACTTCGAAACCCTTTGTCCAGGTTTGCTGCAAGGCTTCTGGAGTTCAAGAGTGTGACTGCACAAAGCCTGTAAAGACAGCAGCTTCAACACTGTTTGGCTGTGTAGGACTTCAGGGGAGAAACATGGTGTGGACCTGAAGCGCCCCCACATTGCTTCATTTTCGATGTTCCAGACTTCACATCACGCATGCTTTCAATGTCGTGAGTCTGGAACACGCACTCCACTGTTCAGACGCTTTGCAACTGACCGGGGGCAACAGAAGATTGCACATTAACCGGCTTTTCAGTGCTAGCCTTGCAAGGCTCCCAAACGTCTGCGCGATTCTGCTTCGAATCATGCGAAGCCTGATGGACATTCGTTTGGGTCTCTAAGACTGCCTCGACTCGGTAGCCAAAGGGTGAATGGTATTGCCGATGTGCGAACCTCCATCCTGCACGCGCCAACCGCATTCCGATGAAGGTCGTCTCGCGCTTGGCGAAGTCACTTCTCCCAACTTCCGGGTTTTCAGGTTGTGGCCAGTGCACGCTGCAGAATTGGGCTTTGGGAGCTAAGGTTCGGTCATAATTGAGATCGGAGCCTGCTCCCCAAGGCCCTCCTAGCATTTACACACGAAGCAACAGGTTGTGCATCACTGGCTGGCTCTCAACAATCTGCGAAGCCGAACCGCAGGACACTGAACGCTTGCTCAGCCTTCGACGGTGCCTGGCGGCGTGTAGCACGCAAGTTGGCAAAGTCTTGAACCTCACGACGCAACTTTCTCAAGGTGGCCAGTCGCAGCTGCCGTACAGACAGGATTCCTGAGATCAGCCTACTGCGTGCTATCAGCCGAGGCGCAGGAACATATTGCGACAGTTGCATCATGAACCTGAGTGATCAATTCTCTCTCCAAGAAAGCAGGCAACATTCGACCTTGACATCCTTGCGTGATCTTGGCTCAGGACTCTGGAAACTCGGGCAGCTCGGAGAGCTGCAGGGTCTGCAAACGCAAGGCTTGCCCATTCCGACGGTACCAGTGATCCACGCACTTCTGTCGGAGGATGCGAGCTACTTGCATTTCTTCTGCCCCTAACATCGCTGTAGCGCTTTCCGAACATGCCTTTGGCTGGAAGAGCAACTTGGGAAACATATCTGTTTTGTGTTTTTTCTGGGGGGGGGGGAAGGAGTTGGCTTTTGTATATTTGAACGGGAAAAAGTCTGTTGTCTCCACATTTTGTTATAGGAAAATGTGGAGACAATCTCTATATTGTAATCGAGCAACCTCTGCTTTCTCTGTGATAAAAGGACAAACGTTCATTTTCTCGACAATAGCATAGGAAACCCTCCTTTTTGTTATAGTTATTTCATAGGAGAACCTCTATGTTCTCATGTTCTCAATACTTCAACAGGTAAACCTCTGCGTTTATGAAACAACCTCTGTTTTCTCGCTACACATTGCTTGTGACATCTAATTCGGAATGTCTCTATTCCTCTGAATGTATAGACAGACAGCAGGCCCAGCAGGCACAACACAAAGAAAGAAAAAACATAACGCCGGCATGTGGGGTTTGGAAAGGATTCGTTAGAAAACCGTGTCCTCTTTCACGGGCAGAGGTGGGGAGAGGTGGGAAAAAGGCGGGAGAGAGGAGGGGAAAGGCGGAAGGGGGGCAGCGCAAGCGGGGGGCTAGCGAAAACAAGTGGGGCAAGTGGGGCACACACCCCCCGGCCCCCCCACAATCCCGGGCCGACAGGCCCAGGGCAGCTCACCCCGGGGGGGCAGCTCCCAAACCACAACCTGCTTAGCAGATGGGTAAGGGGCTCGCCCCAACCACAAGTGTGCCATAGTCTGCCTCAAATCCGGCTGTATTTGAGGCAGCTTTGTGGTCAGGGCAAAATGAACTGGAACATGGAAGCTCAACCCACCCCACCTCTCCACCTACTCCCCTTCTTCCATTCCCGCCTTCTGCCACTGCAAGGACTTGCAGATCGACTGAGCCCTTCCTGGACCCTATCGGCTGACCCTGCGCTACCAAAACTCGAAGAGGTCCGAAGTGAACGGGGAGTTGGCTGACGAAGTGACAGAAGTGACTATAGTCGTGGCTGGGAGAATGAAGAGGACCCATGGGGCGGCTCTGGCTCAAGCCACAACTCTGCCTCAAAGACAGCCCGGTTTGAGACTTGTGCTTGGGGCGAGCACGCCAACTGAGGAGAAGGGAGGGAAAGGTGGGTGCCCGGTTCGAGGGCGGGGGCAAGTTGGGGAAAGGAGAAGGTGGTGGCGCATGGTGCGGTTTTGGCTCAAGCCACAAGTCTGCTCGGTTTGATGCAGCCTTGTGGCTGGGGTGAGAAAGAGGCAAGGTGGGCTGGAAAGGGGGAAAAGGGCGGGGGAGGCAAGCGGGTGCCACTTGCCCCACTTGCCCCACTTGGGTGAGGGGGAAAAGAAGGAGGTGATCTGCAGGGCAAGTGGGGCAAGTGGCAAGTGCATGGGGCAAGTGGGGCAAGTGTCCATGGTCGCGTGATGCTTCAGTGACATAAGCAGTTTTTCATCTCCAGGAAAGTGATCATCGGAGCGTTCTAGTGGTAGTGGCAGTCCATGCTATGGACGCTGACAGCTAAATCATCAGAAAAAGCCATCGGAGATTTCATCATTTGGACGTGGTTTGTTTGTTTAGGGTTTGGCGCTTGTCCCGCAGGCAACAGTAGTTCTTTATTTTTCAAAAAGTACTGGACTATTTCTCTATATGTTAATGAGGAAACCTAGGCTTTCTCAATATTATCATAGCCTGTTTTTCTATCGGTATGGTAAAAGGAATAATTTCTTCGGGGCTTCAAAGGGAAAAACTCTGTTGTCTTGAAGTTTGTATGTTTTACTATACATTCCTTCTTTTGGTCAGGCAACACTGGTTCTGTCCTCTGGTTTCGCACAGGTCTTGCCACCCAAATGTAAGCAATGCCAAGTTCGGGCACATGACAGTGCTCCTCACAACACTGCACTGGTACTCAAGTTTGGCCTCCGACGAGGCGTTTTCCACGGGCGCACCTTGAGCGGCAACCTCATTGCTTAGTTTCGGATTGAGGTAAGGGCTTAGGGTGTCAGGGTGTCAGGGTGTTAGGGTGTTAGGGTGGAATGGTTTATGGAGTTTAGCAGCTCAGACCCACACTGGTGAGAGAGGCTGGCACGGTTTTGCCACAACCTGTCTTGAGATTCAACTTGCGAATTGGACGTGCTCTACGAACCGCAACTTCCGATGCGCTCCCCAATGGAGCATCAACGACGCAACCAATCACAATTGCGTACAATGCATCGAAGACGTCCCTAAAGAAAGAATTGGAGAAAACGAGTAATGAAAATGAATGGTATATTGAAGAAGCTGTATAAGTTGAGCCGCTCCCTCCCGACTTGCAGCCTCCTCGGGATGGCTCGAAGCCTCCTCCCAAAGGCCGTCCGCCGCTGCGGCCCACTCGTCAGCCTGCCAGGGTTACCCCCTTACCGAAACACAATCGCTGAGAAACTGAAAGCCAACGGAGAGCTTCAAGCCTCTGTGAGCACGAAGAAAAGAACAGTCACAGGAAACTCCGAACAACTGGGCCCAGAGGGGACAGCCTCGCTGGCTGCTGGGCTGCAGCAGGTGCCCATTGCAAACTCCGGGTATGCGGCTTGCCGACTGCTTGTTACTGTGCAGTTGCTCCCATTCAGGGTATGCTTAGCATGCTTTTGAAAGTTTCCTTCAGAGCGTGGCTGCAGCTTGAGCGAAAATGCTTGGCAAGTGACGCCAGGACCTAAATGCTAAAAAAGCATCCAAAGGCCAGTGCCCTACAAACTCACGTTCTTCACCAGAGCCTTCGACCTCA